TGCTGAACCACGACTCCATTGCTGCGACTCCATTGCCGCGAGTTTTCAGTCATCTTCTCTGTCGCGCCGCCAGTGTCAATCCGACTCCATCGCCGCGAACAATCCCAATCCCACATCCATTCAGCACTCCTACGTCGGCGTTGACATTGTCACCGTCAAAGGCCGCCATAGCCAGAACTTGGTCTGTCTCTCTTTGATTTGTCTTCTTTTCTTTAGATTTTCTTATTTTTGGCTTTAGAACTTGGTCTTCTTTTCTTCCTAACGTGCGCCGGTTTTAGCAGAAGTGAAAGAGATAAAAGAATTCTTTCTATTTCAAAAAAAAAAAAAACAAAAACAAAAACAAAAAAAAAATGACAACTTTTCAAAAAGAAAATGCCCAATCAATTTCAATTATACTTGATGGGCATAACTACAATCGATGGGCAACAACTATGAGGAGTTATTTGAAAGGACAACAACTATGAGGAGTTATTTGAAAGGAATGAAACTGTCTCTTGTTGTCACTGGAGACAGAACAGCACTAGTCAAACAGATGGGAGAAACTGATGACAAGTATGCCGATCGACTCGAGGAATAGGAAAGCAAGAATCATCGGATCCTTACATGGTTCACCAATACTACTGTTCCTTCAATCAACGTGCACTTTGGGCACTTTGAACTTGCAAAAGAAGCTTGAGACTTTATTGCCATGCGGTATAGTTCTACTACCCTCTCTCATCAGTATCATCTTATGACTACTTTGTCCCGACTTCGTCAAGAATCAGGTCAATCAATCGATGAATTTCATTCCAAAATGTAACATCTATGCGATATGCTTGAGAATTCAGAGCCACAGTTTAAACATGAACAGGATATTTTTATTATTTGAGAAAACAAATACATCGAGGTGACTTGCATAGGGATGGCAAAGATTGACGGTGCAGGGGCGCATATAAAGGATGCCAATCGTGAAGGGTGGTGCATATGCTTAAGGAAGAGAATACAATTGTCAAGGCTGCATGGTGTTGTAGAGAACAAAATGCAAAAGCACAAAGAAGGATGTACGAATAGAGGAACGCATGACTTAGAGTCCGTTTGTTTCATATATTAAAATTTAAATTATTAATTATGTTATTATATTTTTTTCTCAAAACAAAAAAAAAATTATATTTCAAACATCAAAATAAAAAATAATGATATTTGAGTATACTTTTTGAATGAGCCTCTAGAATTTGGAGGTTACGACCTGGGGGATTTGGAGGAGCATGGCCTTGGGATAGAGAGGAGGGAGGCTCACGGCTTTGGGATTTGGAGGGACACAACCTTGGGACAGGGAGGCATACAACCTAGGTTTGACGGCTCTCAGCCTAGGGTCATGAGGTGCACAACCTAAAATAGTTTTATTTTCTTTCTTTTTTCTTTTTTTTTTTCTTTGGCTAAGAAAAAGGAAGGAAAAGAAGATTAATCTATTGGTTGTTGGAAGGTAGGCCATGGAAATATGGATTGGTATTTTTCTTTTTCTTTTTTCCTTTGTCGTGGCAGGTTTGAATAGGTAGAAGGGAGACTTAAGGTATGGGTGATTGTGAGAGATTTGCATGCGGTGACAAGGGGCTTAAGCTATGCGGATGGTATGTTGTGTGGAGGAAAAGAAGGAAGGGAAAATTAGGAGGATGAGATCAGGGATCGATATTATCTCTAATATCATAATAATAATTATAAAAGAAAATAAAAGAAAGAAAAAAAAATAGACATATTTAATATGGTTTGACAATGTGTCTAAATATATGAACTAGGAAAAGAGAATTTATCAGCATGGATCACTATAAAATGGACTCCATTTAAATACAAGTTACAATCATAGAATTTATTGTTTTAATTTATATATTTTTTTAAGGGGCGTTTTGTTTTACTATTAGTGTCTTGTAATTTCGTGTGAAACGTTCAACACAATATCTATTGGATACCTACGTAAGTTAATATTTCTTGAATTAACAATACCATATGCCTTTGCATGTTTAGTATTATATTAGGCGTCTTTACAATTGTAGAAATATATGACGACGTTTTAAAAAGGTCCCACAAGTGTGTTCCTCATATTCACGATGGTTTTTTTTATCAAAGTATATGCGCGTGGAAGATCAAATGGTTTCGGCCGCAACGACTTTTAATGATGGTTTTCTAGAAATCTATAATCATTTGACGACTTTTTCACAGAAAAAAAAAAAAAGCAGAAAATTATTTTCTTACTCAAACAACGAATTTTTCAATTATTCACTACTACAAACATAGTATTTAACGAAAGATACGACAACAACTAACTTAACCATCATCGCATCTATAGTCGTTATATGTGTACCATATTCAACGATGATTTATAATTATTGTGAAATTCAAAAGTTTATACAGTTGTGCACATTCACGTGTATATTACTCAGACATTGTCGTCTAGTGTTCATTTTTAACCTTGATTTTTAGGAAAAGCAATTTTTAAATCGACGCAAAACCAAAAAATAATTAGCCCATTTTTTGTGTTTTCTACCGGTGCCCTGTGTCGCTTGTATTATTTAGCCTCACAATTCTTTGATTTTGGTCAATATATCACATATTTTCAAATAACAATTTACATTAGAGTGAAAATAGGATCAATTATATCAATAAGTAAATAGAATGAAAATAATTAGTTTAAAGATAGAATAAGTGTAACTTAACAAGATTAATTCTAAATTAACAAGCACAATTGTATGTGAGGATTTCGAAGCAGCTTTCCAATTATATGTTTTACATCTATAGAAATTGCAGGAAATAACATTTTTATGAACTAAACTAAGAAAATAACCAATTTTAAAATGTTTGAAATAAATAGCAGTAAATAGATTTTTTTTACCGCGTAAATGTTTTATTTACTATTAATAAAAAGATTTTTTATCATGTAAATTTTCTATTGATGACTGATAAAAAAAAAATTTTACCAGGTAAATTTTTAATTTACAACTATTACTTCAATTATTTAATGTAAATTTATTATTTACTTCATTCGTTGGTTAATCAAACTGCAAGATTAGGGCCAACTATTAGCGATTGGGAGGACATATTTAAGGACACCATTGCCGAGATCGAGGGGGTCTTTCACCAGCACAACATATGAAAGTATTCGGAAAGCTTGCCAGAAGATGAAGGAAGATTTCAGTAGTAGTGGTGGATATTTGGAGAATGCCAATCTGATGAGAGGAAAATATTCGGTGTTTTCTGAAACATGGATCCTAGCGAACAATCTCCTCTCGACACTTGAAGCAACTAAGTTAAGGTTGGTGAACTTGCCCAAGTTACCATGAACTGTAGACTTATGGAAAATATTGGATGACAGGAAAATATTCTGGGCCCGTTCAGTAAGTATATTCTAAAACTTATAATTCTTGATTTTAACGTTTGAAATTCAAATATTAAGTGTTTTCTTTGCCAAGTTACCGTGAACTGTAGACCGATGGCGATGGAACAAAGTGAAGCAACTAAGTAAAGGTGGTGAATTTGTGACTTTCATATGGTTACTCGCATTATATCATTTGGACTTTACAGCCGAGGAGATACGCAAGAAGCTTCAATGACATTGTTTTCAAGTCTCCCTTGTTTCAAAAATAGCTTACTTAAAGGTTGTACTTGGTCCCACTTTCATTTTCTTTCTTTTCATTTTTAATGAATAAAGAGTGAAAGCTCATGTTTTTAATTCTGTAACTTAACGAGAAATTGTATATTATATTCTATTAATAGATGTAACTTTAATATATTAATGTTGGGATTCTCAACAACATTCTTCTTATTTTTAGTCATTATATTCTTTCCACTTTCAAAAATAAGAGTTTGGGGACCCAGTTATCTAAATCTTCAAAATAGACACCGGTTAACGTTCAAAAGTGATGTTCACAAGTGGTCAATTGTAATACAGAAGGGCGGTCGTATCCACAGAGAGATAATAAAATAACAAGAATGACTAACAGAATAAGAGCGTTAGAGAAAAGTGAATTAAAGAAAAATGAGAGTTTTTAGGATTTTTGTTGCAAATAAAATAAAAAAGGAGAAAATCTGTATGAAGAAAACGGTAAGGTGTTGAGAATTCCTAATGCTTCGTTCACCAATTCAAGTTTTGATTCACAAAATAAAAGAATCGAATAAATTAAATCTCTATGTTGGCTCAGAAAAATATTATTATTACAAGTTATCCAAAATCGACAATATATCAATTTGACAATATTGCAGTAAAAGACAATTTGTAAAATAATTTGAATGACAAAACAATGCATGACAGAATTACATAAGAAAAGCGTGACTAAACTTATATAAAAATTGGCACACAATATTTTGAAAAGTAATAGAAAAATAGATGAGATTTAATTTATTCAGATGTTGAACTTTACAGCACAAGGAATCAACACTCT